TTGTGAATGATGTTTTGAAGTTTTGCTTTTTATCATAATGTGGGTAGTTTGAATTTTTCAATGTTACTCCATCAGATATGAAGAGTTTATCATTTAATCTACATGGTATTTTATATTTAATAATTTCTCTATATATCATACTGAATTCTCAATTTTATTCTGATGCACACTTCTTATAAGTAGCAAGTTTCTATAGGTTATTGTGTTTTTTGTGTCTGACTGATCCATAGTAAACAAAGTCCTTCCTAGCTGTCTGCAAACTTGTGTCTGTTTCAGTATTGAAACAAATGTATTTCTTATTCTTCCATCAATATCCTAACAATGTTGAATTAATAATGCTTTAAACAATTTTTCATCTCTAGCAGAGAATGTTCTTAGCAATTTTGTTTATGTGAAAATATTCTAGGATAGTTCCCCATTTTTTTTTTCAAAATAATTGTCAAGGGAAGAAATTCAAGATTCCCACCAAGTTTTCTTGACATTTATTACAATAACTTCATTTCCTTTTATTTCATTTCATAAGAAAATATTTTATTCAAATATTATCTTTATGCATTTTTCCTACCTATGTTTTCTATGAAATGTAAGAGAGTAATGCCTGAAAGTTATTATTATACCAAAATTAGTATACTAAACAAACATTATAATAATGTTTTTTGGTTAACTGTAATTTCCCCAATATCCACCATTTATGAATAATACTGCTAAGGGTTTTATATACTACATAAGTAATGGTTTTGGCATTGAATTCCTGAATTTGTAATTTCTGAGTTAGACCTCCAGGTCAGTGAATAGAAACATTATAACAATCTAGTGAACAACTAAGCTAAGGAGAGCATAGAAATTCAAGGGAAAGATAAAGGCGATTAAAACCTCAACCAACTAATGAACAGCACGTGAGAAAATCTCCAAATAGACATGGGGAATAAAAGAAGGCAGGAGAATATGACTCCTAAAGATGTTATAAAAATCACACATTAGAGCATTTGGTGCAGAGAGAATGGTATGAATCCTCATTTGCTGGGGTGAGAAGAATGGTGGCAAGTATGATTATCATGCTTAAAGAGGACATACAAAAACAACCCAATGAATCCCAAGGGAACACAGATAAAAATACATGAGAAGACAAAGAAACAACTAAATGAGCTAAAAGAGGATTTCAACAAACATCAACATGAAACCAAGGAAATTATAAAATATAGGTAAATGAAGTAAAGAAAGCAGTAGAATAGATGAAAGAGAATCTTAACCAAGATATGAAGAGACTCAAAAAAAAGGGATCAAAGAGAAACCCAGGAACAAAAAATTTCTCAAGTCAAAAAAAATAAGTTGAAAGCCACACCAGTGTACTTGAAGAAGTGGAAGACAGAATTTCAGACTTGAGTACAAAACAGATATTAAAGAGAAAAAAACAGAAGAACACTTTGAGAAAAGACTGAAGAGCTGTGAAAAGAATATGCAAGCACTCTGCAACTCCATCAAAAGACTAAACCTGCCAATCATGGGCCTCAAAGAAGTGTAAGCAAAAGGCAGAGGAAATATATTCAACAGAATAACAGCAGAAAACTCCACATCTCGAGAAAGAGTTGCCCATCCAGGTAGAGGAAGCCTCTGCTATAATAAACAGACATGACCAAAACAGAACCTCTTCATGGTATATTATAGTGAAAAATTAGCATAGAGAGTAAGACAAGGATATTGAAGGCAAAAAGAGAGAAAGAGAAGAAAAAATAATGGATAAAGGTAAATACATTGAAATAATAGGAGATTTTTCACAGAAACATAAAAAGCAATACGAGCATGGAGTAAGGAATGTAAGCACTGAAAGAAAACAATTTCAATCCTAGGTATTCTACCTAGCACAGTTATAATTCAAAATTGAAGGAGGAATAAAAACCTTCCAAAAGAAGAAACTAAAACAATACTTTCCTCTAAATTACAGTACAGAAAATTCTTAGAGTAATCCTATACACACAAGATGAAAATGAACATAGCATGAAAGGACGGGAATCACAAAATCTTAAGAGAAGAGCTGAAAAGTAATTAGAGAGCAGTATAGAATTCATTTCACACACACAAATCCTTCAGTTCACAGGACATTGAATGGTTTGATCTCTTTTCTGAGGCTTTTTGTGATATGAGAGAAGACCAAGGGCAGATGGGGATTCTGAAAAGTGTGTCAAGACAAGGAGCCCTTTCCACTTTAAAAGACTTGTCATTCATCTGCCCCAGCATACAGTGAATCCTTAGGTCACTCAGATCAACTACCCACATTCATACAGGTCTGTCACATTTATATCCTTAGCACTCTCTACAACAGTCAATATTGTAGTTATTATTATATTATCCTATTTTTGACCTTTCTGTGTTTCTGTATCTCCCTGAGATACCCATTGAAATTAAACATGCTTTTAAATTACCTTTGAAATAACATATTTTATCATCTTGAAGAATTCAGAGTGTGTTTTAAGATAACTAACTTTTTTCTCATACTTTCCCATGTGAGTAGGTATGGTGGTTTTTGTGATTTACGTTTATACTTGTTATTTTTATATATCTTGTTAATGAAACTATTGGTTCTTGCCAAGAGTACAGGATTCTATCTTCTATGCTTTGGTTGTAAGCTGTCCTTGTTTTGGCCACTGTGGTTGCTGCCACTACCTTGCTTTCATGAAGCTCACCGTCATACATGTTTACATGTTCTTTGTAAAAATGGACTTGCTTAACTACAGATAAAAACCAGCTTTGCCATACCTAATTCTTTGTGTGCTAAAGAAAACTGTTCCAGATGACCAACTGTGAGTTTGTGACTCCTCAAGTCATCACTGGTATTTTATTTTCTTTTGCTTTAATTTTAACTTGCAACCTTATTTACTGTTCTATATCTTCACTGGTTTCATGTCTTATGGATAACTACCTCCATAATCATCAAAAACCATACATGACCTCATCTTTTCTACTTCTTTCTTTCAACTTTCATTGATCTTCCTTTCCCTGTCCTCTACTGTCCTCCTCCCTCATTCTATTTTGTTTAAATATGGTTTCTTTTAACCAATCTCTTTGTTCTTTTTCTGCCAGGGCATCTCTTCATAAAGAGACATGCTTAGCTCATATCATGATTCCTTAAAGAAGTTCTTTTCTTCTCCTCACTGCAGGGATATTATACATTTGTTAATATCACATTCACTCACTCATATTTTAAATTTCTGAGTTTTTATTTATTTAAGACAATGTTTATGGATTTTTCCTTGTTTTTCTTGACTTCTCTAATTCAAATTGTCCTATGAATTGCAACTAGATGAAATCATCAGCCAAGGCATCCTCCTAGAATGCTCCTTGACCCCAGAAACCTGTACCATATGCCCTGAATGAGGAGGAAGTGAAGCAGAGGGGTCATTCCATGGAAGAGGCCCCATAGCTCTTCTTTCTAAGGCTCTTTACAGAGGCCCCACATCACATCTCTATTAGCCCTTTCCTAGCTCAGGTGGAGCAGGATCCCTTCATTCTCCACACCTTGAATATCGCAGTCCTTTCTTAAGTCATGACTCGGTATCTTCTGCAGGCAGTAGTTTGATGAGGGTGTGAAATTAATGGATTACTGAGTATTGCAAATCAACTAAGTAGCAGGGGACTGGATTTGTCGCTGAAGATGGTATCTCACAAACCTTCATGATTTGAAACCTTCATGATGAGAATCATGAAAATCATGATTCTCCTTACCTCAGCCTCCTATATAGTTATGATTAACAAGGAGAAAAATTCAGAAGTGAATCTGTGTGTGTGTTTATCAATGGAAGTGTGGATTTATGGATGGGTTTATGAATAAGTGTGCTTATGCATGTACATACTCATATTTAGGCTGATTAGTGTGATATTGTGGTAGGCCAGATGTATTTGAGTATCAAAAATGAGCAGCATAGATCAGCACATTGGGATTTTAGTCCTACTTCTCCATGACACTTCACAGAAGTTCCAGTGTGTCAGAATCTGTGAGTGGATGTTGTGAGGGGATGAGATTGTACATTTGATTTTAAATAAAATTTTACAAGTCGTTAGTGGAGAATCTATTTTCCAGTGGATGTATATGATGTGCAAGGAAAGCCAGAGCTGAACTCTGAATGTAGACATTCTGGCAAAGGACAGTACACCACTACCTACTTAAGTGTGTTGCTGCTTTTACCTATTGTCTCATACACAGCTTAAAACTAAACCCACAGGCTATAGTTTGTTCTGATATGTTTCTCCATCTTTGTATTCCTTGCATGGAAACAATGCATGAGTAAATAAGTGAAAATGAATGAATTGTGTATTCATAGGCTTGAATAAAGTTTAATCACATATACTCTGGTGAAAATTTGTACACCACACACTTACTGTGGATAGATTCCATATAGGTGGGTAATATGTTCACAGACCTCATGCTGCTTTGACTATTACTCATCTATTGAACCAATAATAGGTGTTATACCAAAACATTTTGTGTAATTCACCAGAAAGCAGAAGCACAGAATGATAATTAGTTACCTTTACATTGAGCTAATGGATTTTAAACTTAGGGATTCCTAAGAACTCAGAACATACACTTTCATAATCCAATACTTCTCAAACTGGGATGATTTGTTCATCTTGCTATCTTTAACAACTTATGTAGATTTTGGGGGTGAAAGTCACAACTTAGGGAGTAAGTCACTCTGTCACTTTGATACATGGAAACCCAACGTGTTTTAAAACATATTACAATGCATGAACCAATCTCCACCACAAGGCATGGTCCAGCCAGCACTGTCCAATTTTCCATTCAATAAATCTGTTTCTTGACTTGATTGCAAAGGAATTAAGAGGTTATCCATCAGGAAATAGGAAAATAAATTTTAATTTGGGAAACTATAGGATGATTGGAAAGAAAATTCCAACTCTAGCATTCAAGCACAACTGGAAAGAGTATCTCTCCCTGGGTTGAAGGTAGACACAAGGTTGAGATGTTCTTGGGAGTTTATGTCTCACTTCCTCATAGGTCTTGAGCTCTGTGTGAAATAGTTGTCATAACCAGACAGACAGTGGTAATCAGCCTCATGCTCAGGCTGCAGCCCAGAGATGTCAGGGAGGCAGAGTTGGAGGAGCTGTCTTTGGATCCAGAGAACCGGTTGGGAACCCCATTGGGTCTTTGATTATAATTGTAGATTAGCATCTTTGGGGCACTCCCAGGGTGCTGTTGGTACCAGTACACATAGTTGTTGTCAATGCTGCCACTGCTGCAGGTACAGGAGATGCTGATTGTCTTGCCAGGAGACCCTGACACAGACTGGAGCTGAGTAAACACAATCTCAGCCCAAAAGCCTGCAAGGAGGGAATAAGACATAAATTAATGAAGATTTGATGGACTCCTAGTAGGAAGGAAGAGAGAATATCATCCTTCCTAGTTTCGTTCAGGTGCCCTCCCAGAAGATCCTATAGGCTACCACCTGTGCAGTGAGCAAAGAAGACAAGCACAAATGGATCCCAGGCCATGGTGAACACACCACAGGCTCTGCTTCTTGAAGCACACAGGCAGGCTGGAGTGAACCAACTCTTTTTATATGTTCCCTGGTCTTCAGAGTGGAGTATCTCCATGCAAATCTTTCTCAGGCCATGGCTGTTCAAGACCCTCCTCCCTCATTTAATGTTAGCATGGACTCCAGCTGAGAAAAACAGAGACTGAGGGTGCTGCTTTTTATTCCCAAGAGAGCACAGGAACACCTCCTGTGTGTGGGGAGGGGAATAAATTGTGTTCAGTGAAGTAAATCAGACTCAGAAAGAGGAAGGTCATGTCTTTTCTCTCATACTTGGAAGATAGATCTAAAAGACAAACATATACAGGAAAACAAGCATGAGCACATGCAAACTCAAATGTAGAACATGTTTGTAATGGCTGAACTACTCCATGGAACTTGGGAAGGAGGGAAAGGAAAAGAGAATGACAGAGCATGAGTAATATGGCAAAACATAAGTTCTGTGAAGGTAGAGAATATAAGGATGAGAAATGAAAGCTGTTAAAAGTGGTTGATGGGAGGTAAAAGGGTAGTTAGAGTAATACAAGGGATTAAATGACCAAAGTAGTGCATACCCAGAGTGGGCATTCATTGAGAAACCCTTGTGACCATCAACTTAAATATTAATAACAAAAGATAGGACCTTAAAATACAAACATTGTGTGTGTGCAGGGGGAGTACTAATGAAGGAAATTAAGGTGATGGTATATGGTTGATGGACTTCATATTCTTATATGAAATAGAACAAAGACATTTCTTTAAGTTGTGTGAGGAGGGAGTTGAGAGAGAGAGACTATAGGGCGACATAACTAATGTGCAAGACATGGCTATTGGAAGTTTCACTGTCCCACCAGTAAAAAGAATATATTCTAATAAAAGAAATTGAAAAAAAATCTAGGGTACAGTAAGCAAGTGCTAACGCCACAGTGCCCTCTGGGGGATAGAGGAGACATGTCAATCCTGAGCAGGTCGTGTTGATCAGGCTTCTGTCTTCCCCAACCCAGGCTTCTTGAAATTCCTACGAAAATATTAAGGGTCTCTGCACAACATCTTATGCTTAGCATTCATTTCCACCATTGTATCTATTCAGATGCCCCAAGGCCTGCTACTCTCGTTCAAACATTCTGGTTCCTGTTGTGTTATTGGAGGTGATGAATTTCATAGAGAAAATAAGATGTATTTGAGAAGAAAAGAAGACAAAAGCTGTACCTTCCACAAAAGAGGCAACATGTGATGTGTGGCTCACTACTGAAATCCAGCAACAAGGGAGACGACAGAGATCAAGAGGATTGTGATTAGAGTCCAGCCTGGAAAACAATTTAGCAAGAACCAAATTCAAACAAGGTAAGCATGTTTGCTCATGCCTTTAATATCAGCTGCAAAGAAGCCTGAGTAGAAGAGTAATGGTCTGAAGTGGGGCTGGGAAAAAATGAGAGACTTTTCTTGAAAAAAATAACCTAAAACAAAAGGGCTGAAAGCATGGCCAAAGTGGTAGAGCACTTGCTTAGCATAAATTAATTTAACCAACTCTCATGTTCAAATAGATCAAATGTTTTCTAACTTACATGTTCATTTTTAGGGTATAATAATTTAAATAGTTCATTTTTCTTTCTATACCAGTCTTCTGTATTTCTTCTATAAGCACTTACAATGATTTCTGTGATATATGTGTATACCAGGAATATTATTCAATTTAATTCATTATCAATGATTTTTTAAAAATGTACCTACATGAAATGTTTTCTTTACTTTCTTTCCTTGTGATGTTGGGGACACTTTTGAGCATAAATTTTGCTATCATTTCCTTAATTATATTGAGCAGGGATTGCTGCAGGATGAACATTATCTCACACTAGATTGAGGCTGTTATGAACCCTCTTTCTCATGGGTTCTTTTCTGGAGATTTTCCCTGTCTGCTTTCATGCTGTGAAAAGGGATAGGAATCTCCCTAACTTAGGTCCATCCTAAGGTAGTGTACTCTGGAGAGTGTAGTTTGAGGCAGGTGTGTTTTCTATATATTTGTTAAGCAGCTATATCATTTGGATGCTCTGTTAGGCAGTGAAAATACAAGGCTAACTCAGATAACCTCATCATTGCCTTAGGAACTGAGACTGTTGAGGCACCAGTTGGTTTGATATAGACAACAAACATAACCTTCTCATTCTAGAGAGAAAAAGTAGAGTATGCCCCCTACCCCCATGCACTCACCAGACAGATAGAAGAAGAAAATTTGTGTGATCCCAGGCAGTGAAAAATCAGAAAGGTCACAGAGCATAGGAAATGAATCTAGTGTTCATGAGAAGATAAAGAGAAATTCACAAAGCAGACATCAACTACGAAACAGAAAAAAAACACCTTGATGTAAGCAAAAGTGTTTTGAAGAATGGAGTATTCATAAATATGAATAAACATCGTGGCTTAGGAGTCCAGGAAAATGGCCTTGCTGAAACCTTGGTTAAGATCTATAGAGTTTACTGGGGCTAACAGACAGGTGGGCTCAAGCCATGTATTTGAGGATAGGATGTGGGGAATGAAGGAGAAAAGGCAATGAAGGAGAAATGTTTCCCCATCAGGAAATAATAGATACAAAGTGTATAGTAGAAAACATGCAAAGTCTACATGTACATTTCTGGAAATACCATCTAAATGAAGCTTATTTATTCATCAAAATATCTCAAAGTAAAAGATGAACTTAAAATTTTTGGTTTTATTAACATAAAAGCTATCCTTAACACAGAAAATTTGTTTCAAACGTTCATCTTCATGAAGCACAAATAAAGTGTATTTAACATGGTTTTTGAACAAGCTTTGCCACCTTACTTCTCCTCTCATTGCCTGTATGGCACGTACAATTACTTAATTTCATAATTTATATTCTGATTTTTTAAGATTATGTAATTAGATACACCCAGAGAGAGGCTCTAGTCATGTCTATTTTGTCTGAATTGTAGATGCCCTTTAGAATCAAGGATTCCTTTCTTAGATCCTGGATTGTTTCTTAAGAGATGTTACAGATTTACTTCTGTTGATTCTGACATGACTTTTTCCAGAGATGCTTGCCTTTTATAAAACACCAATTATGTAGAAGGTAGTTAGTGTCATTGTAAGAGGACAATGGGACTGAAAATTGAATGGCTTGTGTTCTACAAGGTGAAGTGTCTCTAGGATTGAGTGTATGATACATTACAGAATAAGGACACAGCACCTGAGGTGGAAAAGTAAGAAGGAAAATCCAAGTCAGGGAAACAAGTGTGAGTGCATTCATGATCTCAATAATTGGATTTCTGTCCTGATGGAGATGCTTCACAGCTGACTCAGACTCAGACTCATCCTGATTCCAGCTCAGTGAATGATCAGCATTGCTGTGGCCAGGAACCATGAGGTGCAGAATACCAGATATGTTCTGGATATAAACTGAGGATAGTTTTTTTCTATTTTTCTTCTTTGGGGATATTGAATTTCAGATTAATGTGTCCTGGAGGAGAGGTGGTGTTGCTTGTTCTGGGAGATGCTGTGGTGGGCTTTTCTTTGAGAAGATATAGTTCAAATAAAACTTAGAGAGTGATTCCCCACTTTCCAGTGGAAAGGATAATTACTGTGGTTTCAGTGAGTAAAGATCCAGACTGTTGTCAAGGTTTCCTTCATGGTGATGAACTCAGGATTTCAGCCCAAGGCATCTTCTGTGAGCTTTTGCCACAGCAGGACAGCTCCCTCCCATCCTGTCCTCTTCCTAAGGCTAACCTTGAAACTCTTTCCCACAACCCATGCCTCAGTACCTCTTTACCAGAAAAACATGTTGAATCTGATCTCTTAGAATAAACCAGCTGTCCACTTCCTCCCCTCTCCCTTTCATGTGATGATTTTCTCTTTATCCATAAGACTTCTCTTCATGAATTTAAATCACACTCTCTCTCTTTCTTGTCCAAATGTGGAAAGGTCCTATAGCCCCATACCCCCACCCTGTCCTTGCTCTATGATGACAACCATTTTGTATTGATGTTTTCACTGGATTTTCTTACCTCTTGTACCTGAACATAGCACCTCGAGTAAAGCAAGGTGATCTTTGTGCTGTACACATTGTACCTACAGGTTATAGACCTGGTCCTGACATGTGTGAGGTGTTTAGGAAATGATGGGGATGGAAAGAACTTTGGAGAGCAGGTTATATTACTCATTCACAGTTGATGCTATGTTTCTGACTCTGTCATGAATTTTCATGGTCTTGGTTTTCAGGGTTTTGAATCCAGCATCTAGGGTTTTTTGACCAATATGAAAAAATACAATCTGGAGCACCTCTGCCTGTCAATGATAATATCGTTGCAGAATTGGAGAAGATGAGGAAACATTTTGTAAACTATTTTCTCAGGTATCAGTTAGAAACTCCATTTTTAGCAACACCAACAGGCTAAATCACTTAATTTGGGCAAAGACTGTGTCCCATTACTAGTCAGACAGTGGGTTTTTTCTATTTGTTTATTTGTTTTTCAGCAATTTTATTAGTACATAACAGTGGTATGTGGGGTTTAGCTGTAACATTTCCATGAATTCCTTGGTTGGTTCATTCCATTATTCACCTTTTCCCCCTCTTCTAAAATTATGTTGACATATTTCCATTTTCCATATTCACATGTTTTGAAAATACAACAACCATATTCACTCTCCTTCACCCTCTTCACTCACCTCTCCTATTAGTATCCTGTGCTCAACATGACTTCTTTTATATTCCTGCCATTCATCGTTTGTCTATTCATTTTTCATGGTGATTTGCCTTATTATTTTACCTGTAATGCACCTGATCCCCTCATATCTCAGAATCTCAGTAAAGTTGGGCCTGTTTAGTGCTTGTAGAGAAGTCAGCAGGTTTTGTATTACTACTTCAGTGGCCAGGAACACTATCAGTACAATGATGCTCCTGACCCAAATCATGCAGGAAAATCTGTAGCCCAAAATGCTCAGGGAGCTCTTGTTCCCTGACCTGGATGTGAAAATCTGGTGATCATACCTGAGAAGCTAATTCCTTGACTTACAGGAGAATGTGGTTCCCAGCAGACAGCTGCTGCTACCAGGACAAATACCTACTCTCAGCATTGCTGCTGCTTCCAGTGCAGGAGATTGTGGCTGTATGAGCCACAGAATAAGACAATAGAGATGGTTGACTCACCACCCACTGGACTCAGGATCACAATATTCTGGAGAAAAACATCATGCTTGAGGTGATTCAATTCACATCCAGAGTAACTCTATCCTTAATTATGCTTGCCTGAAAGAGAGCTTCCATCCATCTGTGCAGTAAATGATAAAGGTTAGATGGAGATAACCCACACCATGTTGTAGAATCCTATTTAGCTCTGCATCCTGAGAGTCCTCAGATGGGTCTGGATTGCCAATTACCTCTTATCTCTCCAGCATCAGAAGTTGAGGGAGATGTACATGTGACCTGGGGGTGTGTTGTGATTTCTAAGAACTTGTAAAAATTATTCACTAGTCCAGCATTTCATAAATAGAGAACTCCAGACCAAGATGGTCTTGACTTCAACAGCATGCAACCAAAAATCCCTGACAAACAGAACACAGTGCCCCAGCCACCAAAGATCCAGAAACACATGCATGAATTGTTTTCTCCACTCTTCCCTTCTGAATACCATGGATGTGAGCAGGGTATATGTGTGGTATAGCATAACCTCATGCCTCTACACACACCATTTCCACCAGAACTCACATTCTTCACTGAATTGTACAAAGCTTATGTGAGTACAGAGTGAGAACCTTTCGCCATGTGGTATTCTGTGAAAGAGATTGGGGAGAGAAGGAGTTCACCTAGACATTCTTGGAATCTATAGGGATTGTGGTTAGGACAGTAAAAAGTTGGCAAAGGACATTGATCATGGTTTTCATGTGATCCTTTCCAGGGCACACAGGGACAGCCCAACTTTCTGTTTAGGCCCAGTTCTTAATTTGTCATGCCTTTGTTTACTCTCTAGGCCCTTTGAGTCTGCTCCCTAGGTGTCACAGTAGGTAGTCTCCATGTCATGCTGCCCCCTTTTTATCAATCTGGACCTAACTATATCTTTTGAGCTGCTCCATAGAACATGCATTATGTAGTTCAGTTTGCTTAAAGAGATAATATTGGGACTCAGCCTCCCTACAGATGTTGCTACAGGAAGCTCCAATTACAGAGAGCTGAGCCACTCTACAAGGCAGATCTGCATGGTCACTGAATATTCAAATTCTTTTTGCTCCTCTGCCAGGGTCTGGGCTGAGTTGGAACAATTCCTTTTATAATTCTGAAACCATATTTCCTTAAGTATCAAATTTCATTATCATAATCAAATCCTGGGAGGCATATTCTGAGATATTGTCCACAAAGTGGATGATGAGTGTTTTTCAATATAGCCAAATGAACTGTGTACCTGTTAAATAATCATCACTTTTGCCACCTTCCCTAGTTTATATCTAGTGTTTTGGGGGATTTATAAAATAGATATGACAGAGCAACCCTGGGCTTCAGGAGTCTGTCACTTTGTGAGAGAGCATCAGAGAGCATGTCCCCTGGTGAGTTTGCAAGATGCATTCAAAAAGGTTAGAGAATTGTGCTACACTATCCTTCTTCTATCCCTCAAGAAACTATGCTGTATTTCAACATCAGTCTAACCAATAAATAATGAGAGTGGGGCAAATCGTGGCATTGCATTAGTGAAAGCAAGAAGGTTGTGTATCAGGAGCCACCTGTTTTGTTTTATTTTGTTTTCTGTATTGGACTTTCAATTAGGAATTACATTTGCTGGGCAAGTACTCTACACTTGAACCATGTCTTCAGACCTTTTTTTGCTTTAGTTATTTTTTCTGATTTGGACTGGAGCTCTGCCAAAAACTGGCTTCAGTATCAATATTTGTATCTATCCCTCTGATGTAGCTGAGAGCATGGAAGGGCCCACCAAAACTCACTTGTTTGTTCAGATGGGATCCAACTACCATGTTAACTGAGATGGCCCTGAGCAGTGATCCTTCCAGTCATGGCTTTCTGATCTCTACCTCTCCACTAACTGGGACTGCAGGCATGAGATACTTTTCCCAGCCCAAGATCTGCCTCCATAGTGCACCTCAGTGCTTTATAGACAAACTTTTCAGAAGTCGAAGAAATATATTGATTTCCTACAGTATTAGAAGAAAAAGGATAAATTCAATAGAGACTATATTTATCGCTGTATTTATGGAGTCAAAAAACATAATTTTAGGATTCATCTGTTATAGCACAAGAGCATTAAGGAAGCCGTGCCCTTGGATCATGAAGTTCCTGACATTTTGGGCTCTGTAGAACCCTTCAGGCCAGTACAGATGGTTTTCAAAAAGAGTCTTCAGCATGAAGTAATCCAGATGTGAGAGATGTAACTGCATGATGCCACTTATAAATCTTAGGCAATGAAAAACAATAAAATGAGTGAGTAGCACATGCTTTATTCACACTACTATGAGAAAAGGAAGGGTTCTTGTCTCACTTCCCCATGGGCCTGGAGCACTGTGGGAGCATCAGTGCTATCATCAGCAGACTGACAGTAATAATCAGCCTCATCCTCAGACCGAAGCCCAGCAATGGTCAGGGTGGCTGAGTTGCCAGACTTGGAGCCCGAGATGCGATCAGGGACCCCAGAGGGTCTCTTGTTATCCTCATAGATGATGAGTTTAGGAGATGTTCCTGGGAGCTGTTGGTACCAGTACACATTGTAACTACCAATGTTGCTGCTACTTCCAGTGCATAAGATGGAGACGCTCTGTCCAAGGTTACCAGACACTGAGGGTGTTTGGGTCAGCACAGACTGTCCCCAAGAGGCTAGAGGTTGGAAAACAAAGAGACACCATTGTAGAATCTAAATGGAGGGAAAGAGAAGAACCCATAGTTTTCCCAGGCCCTTGCTGTCTCCTCTATCTACTTACCTGTGCAATACATAAGGAGAGCAATGAGGACAGAGGACCAGGCCATGGTAAAAGCCTTACACAAGTCCAATCTTGGTGCCCTAGTGCTGAGCAATGTTTCCCTCATGTTTCTCCCTTGCCCTCTTTATACTATGACAGGGGGAGGGTTCACTCATGCAAATAGTGCTCTTCCAGTTTTCTGATCACACCTTGGACCTGATTTAGGCTGTTTTGCTGACGATGTCACATGGGCAAGACTGGTGCTGGGTAGTCATAGGAATTGAGTCAAAGCTGTGAGCTCTGAGCAGAGGGTACCAGATAGGGTCAGGTGTCTCCTTCTAGCTCTCACCACACCCAGAACCTACAAATATGAGGCTCAAGTGCCCCCTGGTGTTCAGATCCATGCACACTACCATGTAATATGTCTACCAGCTCCTCAGAGATAACCTTGTTTACCCAGTGTCCTGTTCATAGCTCCTACCTTAATGCTATGACATGTGGGAAGGTATTGTGGACTCCCAATTGCCTCAAACCAGCACACATATTCAGATCATATTCTTAGAAAGGAATTGTCCCATAGTGAACTTACTGCTCATTTACAGGAGTGTAATGTTGTTTGTAATATAAATTCCTCTCAGATTACTATCAAGATAACCCAGGGGCAATCAATCTGTTCTCCTGCAACACATAAATACTCTTTTAAAAGTCTTTTCCACCTGGACAATAAATACTGAATTTTCAAATTGGTCTTTAACCAAGCTTTATGATCATATTATTTTTCTCATAATATGCCAAATGAAAATATCTGTTATAGTTAATATTATATAGTAGATAATATTCACTTTCTTATTTATAAAACTATAAACATAATATTATAATCTTAACCTTTTATAGCTTATCCACTGAAATGCACCAGAGCCACTCTTATGGTACAGATATGTATATGAATAGTGAATTTGCTTTAAGCTCAGAGATTTTTATTGGATATTAGAATGTTTTCCAATATATATCACATATTTTCTTTCATTTACCTAAATTTCACTAGAAGTCCCTTCTATTATAAGACAAAATTCTGAAGATGAATATTGGAGCTATTACCTTACTGAAGCTGGAAAAGAGATGAGAAACACACTGGGGTGTAGTATTTGGAAAAAGATGTACATGCTAGAGATATTACACATTATTGTATAATGAGTGGTAACACAATTTGGAAACCGAGAAGAAAATTATAAGATTGTAAATCTTGGCCAGTCTATTCAGAACTGCCAGTAGTTAGACTTAAGTCTGATATCTTGTTTATTAATCAGTACATCTCAAATTAAAATAACTTTTAGTATTATTAACCCAAAAAGTATGAGGCAAGCTATTCCTAACACAGAAAATTTGTTTCAAAGGTCCACCTTCATGACACACAAATAAAGTATAATTACCATGGTCTTTGAACAAGCTTTGCCACCTAATTTATTCTCTCATTATCTGCTTAATAAATTATATGGCACACGAAATTACTGAATTTCATAAGAGTCAATTTTTTAAATTTATATTCTGAATTTTTAGAGATTATCTAGTTAAATACCCCAGAAAGAGGCCTTAGTCATGTCTATTTTGTCTGAAGAGTAGATTCCATTTAAAATCAGAGATTCTTTTCTTAGATCCTAGATTATTTCTGAAAGGGGTCTATAGATTTATTTCTCTTGATGCTGACTTTATTTTTGCAGAGATGCTTGCCTTCTCCCAAGCAATGTACTATAGAATTCCAGTGTCATCATAAGAGGGCAATGGGACTGAAAATTAAATGACCCGTGTTCATTGCGATGAAGTGTCTCTAGGGTTGAATGTATGATGCATTACAGGATAAGGGCATAGCACCCCAGGTGGAAAAGTGAGAAGGAAAATCAGAGTCAGGGAAAAAAGTGTGAGTGTATTCATGGATCTCAATAACTGGATTTCTGTCCTGATGAGTTGCTTCACAGCCGACTCAGAGTCAGACTCTTCGTGATCCCAGCTAAGTGAATGATCTACATTGCTGTGGACAGAAAACATGAGGTGCAGGATACCAAATCTGCTATGGATATAAACTGAGAAAAGTTTTGTTTTTCTAATTTTTGTCTTTCTTTGGGGATATTGAATTTCATAGTACTGTGTTCTGGAAAAGTGGTGTTGCTTGTTCTGGGAGATGCTGTGGGGGCTTGTCTTTGAGAAGGTATACTTCAAATAAAACTCAGAGATATTCAGACTGCAGAGATTAATTTCTCAACTATAAGATTAGTGCAGTGGTTATAAAATAACAACATATGATGCATTTAGATCAATAATTTGTTCATTTATTTTATTCATTATGTAGCAGATATTTAGGGATGTTTCACATATATCAGATATGATCACTGAGAGTGTCATTGTATCTTAAGTGTTCCCAAAGGGCCCATATAGTAACAGCTTGATCACCACATTGTGGAGTTACTGGAATATAGTGGAACTTTTAGGAGATGGGTTACATGGAAGATTGGGCCTTTGACAGTGTGACCTTGTAGAAGAAATTAGGATGCTGGCCATTAGTTAATCTGTTTCTTTTGCATTTGCTTGCCGTCATGATGTATAGCTTTGCCACTGAGCTAAAGGCAACAGGACCAAGTGACCATGGAGCAAAAACTCTGAAACCATGAGACAAAATAAATCTTTCTCTGTTAATAAATGCTCTAAGGTCGTTTTCCCACAGCAACTGAAAGGTGGCTGACACAGGTATTTCAACAGTTGGCCCCAGGACACTGATGTAGCATGGGTCAGGAACAAGAGGGAATGGAGATGTACTAAGAGGATACCTCAGGTCTGAGGACCTTCAGAGTATATAAATCAGGGCAGAAGGGATTTCCCTAGGCTTCAGGGCCTGAATATAGCAAGGGCTCCAATGCACAGAGACCTCCCAGCTTGACTTCACGTGTTGGACCACGTGAAGGATTACACAGCAGACAGGAGGGCACAGCCCCTATCCTCAGGGTGGGTGCAGCGTTTAAACTGGATAGTTGTGATGTAATAAATGCCACCCTATGATCTCCCTCCAGGAAATCCAGCAGGGAGAAAACAGGTGAATGCTTCTCTTGCCTTGTGCCCAGCACCTGATCCACCTGCAGGAAGTAGACCCCTCAAATGAACACCCAAACTACAAGGTTCACTCAGCAGAGCTGTGGTCTGAAAGACTTTTCCACTCCAAGTCATTTACAGTTTGTCTTCATCAGTACCCCTCTTCTCCAAAATCTCTTTCTTATCTAACAGCTTGTTATCTGCTACCCTGAACCTCCATCCTCAAAATGTCTTTTTGAGAAAGAAATAACCCAAGGGAGAATTGTCATCTCACATATAAGTTGTTTGGTTCAGGAATTGTCAAAAGTTGTAGAGAAAGTTTTTTTAAAGTTAAGAATTTAAAAATATAAACTTTCATATATATATATATATATATATATATATATATATATATATATAAACACACACCTATAAATATAGGCATGTTTATGAGAGAGAGAGAGAGAGAGAGAGAGAGAGAGAGAGAGAGAGAGAGAAAGTTAAATTCTTCCAAAATGTTTACTTGTTCCTTTTCAGGTGCACTCTTATACTGTGAGAATCTAAATCAGATTATATAAAGACATCTCAAATACCAGTATGTTATCGAAAGGATATCAAGGAGGAACTGAAAAAAAATCTGATATTATCCTACTGATGCTTGTGTTTATCCAGCAATTGAAAGGACTGAAGGAACCATAGGCTCAGTGGCGTAGTTTATGCAGCTACTTGGCCTGATTCTCCACTAGTACCTGCAAGGGACTGAACTCTACCTCTGTCGAACACTTTCAAGACTGCATTGTGCACATCACTGTGTCCTGCTTATCTGTGGTGAGTCATGGATTTTACCTCATGTGTTCTCTCTACAATGAGAAGCAGCCTCCAGATTTGCCAGGAGACACTTTGAGAACCTGGCAGGACCTACACTAAATTAGCTTCTTCAGAGTAGCTAACAAACAGAAAATTCTCAGTCTGTGATTTTCTATGATGTTTGGGTTAATTTCAACCCATAATCATGCTACATTTTTGTATAAATTACAATAATTATTTAAAGTACAAAATAGAAAGCTAGAATTTTTGAAAGATACATGAAAGCAATCAATTATATTGAATGTTAATGAAGTACATATATAATACTACTTTTCCTTGTAATATGTATGACTTTAACATAACAATGTATAATATATTTTTCCTAGAGATAAAGAAGAAAAGTCCAACCAAATTTCCCCAAATTGTTTAATGCTCAGCTGCTCAGTACAGTGCTAAAGTCATTAATATCTGCTTATCTCTTGGTTTGACCTTACCTGCTACTCATTTGTGTGTGTCCTGCAGCCAGTTACTAAATAGCTTCTATGAGTGTATAGAAGACAATCCTTCATAAGATGTTTTCTACTAGTGAAAATATTCATAGGATCTTCTGATAATATGCTTTAAAATATTGTTTGTATAAAGTACTCCCATATTTTGATATGCAGAGAGGCATCACCCTGACATCTTGCTTTTATGGGATCTCCTCTAGAGTGTGAGTCCCACTGACCTGAGCCATAAGTGATGAGTGCAAGAAGAAACATTATTCTGGCCATGGTGGAAAACTTAACAAGTACCAGGTGTTCTCAAACCCCTCAGCTTGAGTTTGACATTCTCAAGGCCTTTTCAGGGCTCCTCCAACACATTGAAGTTTCTTCATGCAAATCAGCTTCCTCTCTCTTTCTGCACTGGTGTTCAACCTGATGTCCCAGGGGAGAGATCTTGAAGACTCAGAGGGTAGAACATTGCAGACCACTTTGTACAAGTGGTCTTGTACATAGACATTAAGATGGGGGTTGATGCCTTTCACCAGTCAGCTGCTTCATACTCCTATTGATCTCAGGGCCAATCCATTCTCTGTAAGGCCTACAGGACTGACTATTATAAAAGGTATGCTTTCCATATTATATCCTGCTCATCTACTTTATAATAAACTCATTTCCCTAGTGGTGAACGTTTCTTTCCTCCAAGAGAAATGAGTGCAGATCCTCTTTGGACATGACTAACAGGATCCCCTTACT